GGACCCGCTGACTTGAACGCGTCCAGCCCCTCCAGAAGCTCTCTAACCTGGTCCTCCCCAACCTGAGGTCTGAAGGCGATCCCCTTGAGTCCGGCTTCTATCACAGCAGGGAAGTCCCGGTCCCTGCACATTCTTTCTCCCCAGGTGAAACACCTTGCATTTATCCTTGTTAAATTGCATCCTGTTCTGATCCGCCCACTTCCCCAGTCTGTCCAGATCTGCCTGAATTTGCTTCCTGGCCTCCAGTGTGTTAACTGTACCCCATAGGTTAGTGTTGTCTGCGAAATTGGACAAGGTGCTTTTAACACCTTCATCCAAATCATTGATGAAGATATTAAACAGCACTGGTCCAAGGACTGAGCCTTGGGGGACAGTACTGCCCACATCCCTCCAGGGAGAAACTGACCCATCCACCACCACTCTCTGGGTGCGTCCTGTGAGCCAGCTTTTCACCCACCTTACTGTGAAAAAAATCCATATCACAGCTACTCAGTTTGCTCATAAGAATTGGGTGCGACACTGTGTCAAAAACCTTTTTAAAATCCAGGTAAATAATATCTACTTGTACTCCTGCATCTAAGCACTTTGTGATCTTGTCATAAAAAGAAACCAGGTTAGTTGGGCAGGATCTGCCTGCTATAAACCTATGCTGGTTGCCCCTTACCATACTGTGGCTCGCTGGCCCCCTGCAAATGTGATCCTTCAATTTTTTTTTTTTTTTTCCCTCCCTAAGGTCTTGCCAAGAATAGAGGTGAGGCTAACTGGCCTATAATTACCTGGGTCCTCCTTCCTCACCTTCTTGAAAGTAGGGACCACATTTGCCCTTTTTCAGTCCTCTGGGACCTGTCCCGAGTGCTCGAACAGTTACACCAGTGGTTTTGCTGTGACATGAACCAGTTGCTTTAGTACCCTTGGGTGAAGATCATCGGGGCCTGCCAACTTAAATACGTTCAGCCCTTCCAAGTGCTCCTTCACTAGGTCAGCACTAACCATTGGTGGATTGCTATTACTCGCACTTCAGACTAAAGACTCACTGGGAGTATTTGTATCCGTGTCCAGGAAAACGGGAGCAAAGAAATTATTTAAGAGTTCTGCTTTGTCCATCCTGTGGGTTACGAGTTGCCCTAGTCCATTCTGTAGCAGCCCTATGTTGCCCTGCACCTTCTTCCTGCTCCCTACATACTTAAAGAAGGACTTTTTGTTATCCTTAATCTTTGTTGTCCACTTGAGTTCTGTAACTGCTTTGGCCTTCCTTACTGCTTCCCTGCAAGTGCGAGCCAAGCAGCTATACTCCTCCTTGGAGGCTGCCCCCTGCTTCCACAGCCTATAGGCCTCTTTTTTTCATCTGAAGGCTCTCCTGGATTTCCTTGTTCAGCTAAAAAGGTTTTTTGGCTCTCTTGCCTCCCTTTGTGTGTACTGGGATGGCACCCCTCTGCGCCTGTAGGATCAGTCCCTTGAGGAACTCGCACCCTTCTTGGACTCCCAACGCACAGAAGTGATTTCCCCTCAGTCCCGCCCTAACTAATCTTCTGAGCTCATTGAAGTTGGCCTTCTGGAAGTCTAGCACTACTAGTTGTCTTTTTCACCTTACGCTGGATAGTGAATCCTATCAACTGGTGGTCACTATCCCCTAGGTTACCTTGTACCTGATTCTGTAATGATACAAATATAGTAGTGCTGATTCAACTTTAAAACCTGCTTCATGTAGGGACAGAGTTCAGGTTTTAGCTAATTTATATATCCACAGGATCATAAAGATGTTATGGTATAGTAGATGACTGGGGGCTTCTGTGCAGTAGCAGCAGCAGCAGCTCCCCCATATCTTTTAAATGCATGTTTGTCCGTTAGGAATGTAAATACTGATTAAAAAAATACTAATTTAACTTGTTATAGTTGCACCAGTTAAAGGATTAATTGGTATGGCAATCTCTGACCTGGCCCATGTGGGGCTGCTCTGGCCCAGCCTTTGGGGCATCCTGAGCATGAGTGGGGCACTTCCAGCCCCTTGAGGTGTGACAGACTCAGTGGCTCCATGAGGCCTGAGCTACCCAGGGCCACACCTTGTAGTGAGCCAGGTGGGCAGGTCCTCTCCGGGTGCAGGTGGGGTGGGAGCATGCCAGTTGATTGAGCCCAGGGGAGCTGCCCCACACCTTCTTACCTCCACCTTGTCCGTGCCAGGCCCTGCAGCTGTAGATCTGGCTGGGTGGTGTGTTTGGGCACCACCAACAGTGGCAGCTGCAGCAACAGGAGGCATTGCATCTGGGATGCTTGTAGCAGGTGATGGGGAGACTGCAAGCAGCTGCACCCGGGTCTGTGTAACCTAACTATAGGTACTAGTCACTCTCCCTTCCCCCTTTCCTCCTCCTTGCTCCTCTCTTCCTCCCACCTGCCCTGCTGCCTTCTGTTTTTGCTGGGGTGCCACACAGCTTACCTTTCCCTCCCCTTCCCTGCTAAACGATAACCAGTTATCACTGGGCTTATCAGTTAAACCAGGGAATGGCAACCCCTGGCACATGTCCCAATTTGTGGCACGTAGAGGCATTTTCTAGGGCACACCAGAAGGTGCGTGAAGAATTTTTTATTTTATTTTGTATTATTTAAAACAGGCTCTCTGGAGCAGCCACAGGTCCCAACACCACAGCAGGCACTGGGGGGCAGAGTCAGGAGACCACAGGCAGGGACACTGTCGGTATTCTGTTGACCCTGCCCCTGTCCCTGGGCTGTGTCATCCAGCCTGGCCTGATTTCTGGAGGGGAGCCATGGCGTCGTGGGGGCAGGGGCGGGGTGCTGAACAGCAGGCTCCCAGCAGGTGGGCAAGCCCTGGGCCCAGGCAGATGCATGCCCTGTCCCACTTAGGCGGGGGCAGCACTGGGGCTTGGTGCTCAGGGCAGGGTCCAGGTGGCATGGAGAAGTAGGTGCAGGGGGGAGGTGCCACAGGCAGGCCAGCCTGGCCAGCACCTTGGGAAGGCAGGGGCTGGATGGGAAGTGTGGCTGCTATGGGCCTCTGTGGGCTCAGGCCACGGTAGGCAGGCGGGGGTGCCCAGTGGCACCTGAGGTGGGGTCTGGCCCTGCCCACGCAACTGTGTGGGGATGAGGCGCAGCTTCTCTCCGCATGAGTGGACACTGCCTGGCCAGGGCAGGGTGCCAGGCTTGGGGAGGTTCCCAGCTCTGGGTTTGGCCTCCCTGCACGCCAGGCACAGCACAAGCTGGGTGGAGCCACCCCAGGTGCAAGGGTTCAGCCATGACAGCTGCCTTGACCCCAGGAACTGCTGTTGTGGCTGCCCCAGCCTGCCTGCCTGGGCCTTGTTCTGGCCCCTCTGCTGCCATCCACCAAGTGGTGCGCACAGCAGCCACTGGCACTAAGCCTGACTGGGGCCTGGAGATCATAGGGACAGCACTGGAGGGGGCTATAGCCACCCCAAAATTTGCCTTGATACTCCTTCCACCCCCGCATAGCCACACTTCCAGTGCTGCCCGGACCACCACTACCCACCCTGCTCTGAGCTCAGCCCCTGCACCTGGCTTATGGGTGGGCTGCGGGCCAGGGCCTCAGTGAGCCACGTTGGAGCCTGAGCACCAGCTTCCTAAAGAAGCACAGGGGCTGCGACAGGCCCAGGGCATTGTTGGGTTCGACTTTGTCCTGCGGCCCAGCAGCCTAGCCCTGTGTCTGCATGCGTGTGTCTAGTTTTGTGTGCACACGTATGTTAAGTTTTATTTATTGTCACCAGGTTTACAATTTTTAGAAAACCTGGTATTTACTAAAACTATTTATGATTATTAATGATATTAATATGTAGCGTGTTCTGCGATGTACCTCCTGCCCCAGTTCTGTTTTTCTGGCGTTCCGGCACCTTACAAGCTAGACATTGAGGTTTTTTCTGCGTTCCGGGCAAAAACTTTGCTTACCCCTGGATTAAACAATTAAACATTTACTATTCTCATCCCTGTTGTCCATACCCGTTGTTTAAAATTGACACTGAAGATGTAATGTTTTTCCTGTGTTTTATTGCAGATTTTGTTACTGCTTAGACTGTATCAATGGAGCATATTCAGGGAGCTTGGAAGACCATCAGTAATGGTTTTGGATTCAAGGATTCTGTCTTTGATGGATCGAACTGTATTTCGCCCACTATTGTTCAGCAGTTTGGTTATCAGCGCCGGGCATCTGATGATGGCAAACTCTCAGACACCTCCAAGACTAGCAGTACTATTCGGGTTTTTTTGCCTAACAAGCAACGCACGGTGGTAAGTTTGACTTATTTAGCAATAGAAATGCTAAATAATACTGAAAAGTTTTTCCATGCCTAGATGAGTCACCATCTGTTTAATGCTAAAGGCTGTAGTAATACTATTTTTAAAATAACAGAGCTTTTACTGTACTACTATCTGGCGTCCATGGGGAATTGGGGGGTGCTGGTTAGTCAAATATGCTGGTTATCTGAGAGTTTATCTCCAGCGGGTTGGAGGCATCTTTGCTGGTGCACCAGGGCTTTCACTCCCTGGCATCAGTGTGCCGAGGGAGGCGGGGGGCCCCATGCAGGCTGCTTTGCCCCGGGCCATGGTCCTCAAGGAGGAAGTGGGACTTGACAAAACTGGAAGACCCATGGTCGTAACAACAGAGGCCAGTTAATGAAGCGTTCCGGATGGTAAAGTGCCAGATAATACAGCTTTTACTGTAATGTAGAATGTAGTAATACTATTTGAAAAATTAAAGGTTCTAACATGGGCCATTTACAATCAAATATGTAAGGATAAAGACATTTCAGGAATAGGCTAACTTAACCTGCAATACAGGTATCTATTGGTGATGCGTAGGGGGTGCATGTGCATCTCCTGATACTGGTGGTGCACCCCCTGAAAGAAGCACTGCTGACATTGCCTGCAGCACCTGTGGGAGGTCACTGCTCACCACCTTCTTTCCCCCCGCTTGCCGCTGACACTGCTGGTGGTGTCTGCTGGTGGTCGCTGACTGCCGGTTGGCACTTGCCAGCCGCCGCCCCTCCCCCCTGCTGCTGCCGCTACCTGTGGGCAGTTGCCATGCCCCCCCCAGCCTCTGGGGGCACGCTTCATTCATGCAGGTGTCCGTTCCTCTGTGAAATCTAGAATATAAGGTGATTTTAATATAGGTTTGATCTGTATTGATGTCTGCAGTGTAATACACTGATAAGGGGCTAACCTTGAATTTCTCAGGGTCTTTCCTTGGAAGCTGCAAGAAAAATTATCAAAACTTATAACAAGGCTGCTTGAAATCCTAATTTGCACCTTCCCTTCCTTCAAGGTAATGCTAGTTGCAATAGAAGTGTTGAATCCCTGGCCTTAGGGGTCAGATCTAGCCACCAGTACTGTTATCCACCTTGCAGAGGTCATGGGGAGCCCCACAGGTTGTGAACCTGCACATTAGGTTGGTCACATTATGGGGTGCAGGGCCTGATCCCTGCGTGCTGGGCCAGAAGGCACCATTCATTTGGCCTGGAGGGTCAAAGCTTTGAGCACTGCTAGTCTACAGTGCTACCACTGAGCAGTCTTCCTATGTAGGTCAAATAAAAAACAAACAGACCCTGTTCAACAGGAAAAATAGTACATTTAAAGAAAATAAATAATTAATTGGGTCAGAAGTTCCTTTCACATGCACTTGCTGCTGTAGGCATGATGAAATATTCTGGTCTGACAGAGTTGCTTAACATGCCATGAACCAACTATGTGATGATTCAGGAAGCCTATTGTTGCATACTGCACTTTTACGCCAATCCTTATAAGTGAGTTGTAATACAGCTCAACCCCACCCACCTTCAACAGTCCTTTTAATGTATTAAATTGCCTCAAATTTTCTCTGAGAATATTTTTTTGCTTCTACATTGCTAGGAGAATAGCAACCTAAATGTTGAGAATTAATCTGAGAGCCACCAAATGGAACATACAGCCCAAAACCTGTTTTGGGTCTAAATGCTTGATTTACTTAAATATAGAACTGTCTTTATTTATAATTAAGTAGTATCTAGTAATCTTTGGAGATTTTTTTTTTAAAGGGGAGGGGTGGAGGAAACCCCACATGCTATCCAAATGTGACTGCGGATTGTTGTTGCACTCATCAGACAATTTGTACAACTGATTAAGTTATCTCAAAACAAAGGAATAAAATGACACTTGCTAAATTTAGAATACTGCCTATGAAGTCTATATATCATTCACTCTTCCTCTTAGCTTCATTTTTGGCCAAGCTCAAGAGGCATATTTAGCTTAAAGGTCAGAGAGGCATAATTTCTGAGCCTCTCACTGCTCATGTAGTATAGGGGCTGAACCATCCAACAGTCATCTACTATTTTTGACTCGTGTGATTCACACATAAAGAAGACATTTTTAATTCAGCCTTTCTACTCCAATACCACAGTTTAAAAGATATTTTTGCATATGGCCCAGGTTGGTAGGTTTAAAGACTCAGTCTATATAAGTCTTGTGCCCTTTGAGGAGCAGAATATGCAGCCTTTCTGGGGAAGTGATGGTTGTACTCTGCTACTGCAGCTTCTTTGGTTCTATTCAGTTTTCAGAAGATAGGGAGACACTTAAAACATTTGTGCATGTTTCAGTTGCTTGAAACTTCATATGGTCCATGGCACTTGCAACCTGTTGGGGAAGTAAAATTGAAAATGATATCCAGTAAATAGTATGGTGCTCAATATAGGGTGTTGATGGGGAGGTGGGGGGAGTAGTCAAAAGAACATCTACTCCAGTTATTCTCACTTGGGGTACCCCAAGATCATTTTAAGGGTGTGGCACAATATTATCACTGTTAAATGTTCAAACACCTACATGTGATTCACAAGATAAATCTGGAGACTTCAGATAGGAATCCACTGTGTCCAAATCATTCCAACCTGTTATGAGTTCTTTGCAACAAAGTAATGGCCCTATTTTTCCATAGTAAAAAAAGAGCAAAAGCTAAAAGCTGGTATTTTGAGGGGTTCCTTGAATTGAAAAAGGTTGAAAGGCACTGTTTTAGTCTGCCAGTTTTCACAGGAGCCTGGGTGGTTCAAGGACATGCAGTCACTATTGAATTGGACTTACAACCGGCCTTTGTTTTGTTTTGTTTTGTAAACTGATCCTGAGTAGTCATTTGGTAGGTTGATAATGGAGAATAAAGCATCCTGCTATTTACAGTCTGCCTATATCAAAGGGGCTGTATTCTTTTATAATCTCAGTATATCAGAAAACACAGAAAGATCCCAAACCATTTTCAAAGCAAAATAAAATAAATGGAGAAGGTATGCAAGAAGTGAAAGGGGAAAGGAAAAAAGGAGGAGGCTTGTGACTGGGAGAGGGATGCTGGAAAGGGGGCTAGGTATTAGAATAAACAATAGGATGAAGGTGGTGGGCAGTACCTCTGGTTGCATCTGAGCCTGTTTCTGTGGAAACGGGATTTTGAGGGTCTTTGAGCCACTCTACCTACACCCCATGTGGTAACTGGGATGCAGGGGGAGAAGTTTTACCACGTGTGCAGTGGGTATGATCTTCTCCAGCTTTCCTCATGTATATACTGCAGCGTCTGGGCACTTGTCATTCCTATGATGTCTCTTTCATTCAGTATTTGGGAAACTCTTGCCCCTTTGTGCACATACCCAGCAAGTACTGAGAGGTATGAAGTCTTGGGAACAAATATGCCTGATGCATTTGACAAGCTTTTGTTTGTTGACATTGGGGTAGAGAGATGTATATAAAAAATTTGGGCACAGGAATTGGTTCTGGCTCTGTTAAAATCAATGGGACATTTTCATGTAGCTAGGAGTATCATGGTGTGCTATTTCACACTTCCTTGAAAGCCCTTTTCTCTTTAAAAGTCATCTCTTCCAACTGCCTGGATACCCACAGGTTGATTGTTTATTTTGAAATTTGGTATGCCTCATGAAGATAAATATAATGTTGTTAATCCAAATTTGGGGGCATTTGAGCTAGGCAGGGACTTCTCTGTAGCACTACATTTTATAGTGCTACATGTGACATGTACGTTGCACCATAATTCTGTGGGAGGGTCTCTGTTGCCCAGCCTCCCACAGTGCTCTGTCTGTTGCCCCATCCCTGCAGAGTGGGATAACAGCATTTGCCAGCCCCAGGAGGGAGAGGGGGAGTAGGGGAAAGTTTGCTGGTGCAAATTGAGGTTGGGGTGTTTTTGGCACTCTGGTCAAAACTGTTGTCAACTCCTGATCTAAGCCAAACAACCCAAAGGCTTCCCCGATGAGAACCATGATGTTTGCATGGCAGCAACACATGGATTCAATACAGAGGAAC